GAAGCCAGAGTACCCAGAGAGAACCCACACATGCTCAGGAAGAACATGCTAACTCCAAGCAGGAAGAACCTGGGCCAAGAATCGAACCCAGAACCTTATTGCTGCAAGGTAACACTGCTACCCACTGTTCCACTGAGCAGCTGCTATGTTTCAGTCTACAAAAAAAGGAAATTTTCTTGAATTGAGTAGTAAAAAGTCAATAGTAAAAATACTAATTCCATTGGCAAATGATCTTATTCACCTGCTCAAATTAAGGGTAAATACACTTTATTTGAGAGATTTTTTCTTGTTTCTATATAGTTTTTGCAGTGCAGGATCATCGAGAAAATAAAAATCCTCTCAGGCTTCCTGTTGTCATAAACGTATAATGGGAAAATGTTGACAGTAGAAATAATAATTACCAGATATGGGTAGTAAATAGTTACCTTTACTCAATATTACTTCTGCAACATTTTTTTTCTGAGGTGGAGTAATAATACAGTAAACATTATACTGTAACTTCACATATTCTTACATGCTGTTACTATTGATATTTTAAGCCCTTATAACTAAAACTAAATCGCTTCATTCGCTCTAATTGAAAAGTCCTTTTTCTTTTAGACTGTTTTTTTTTTTTTTTCAGGTACAGATTTACTCTTCTGTCTAAAAATGAGGTTAAAATCCTTTAATTCTCCTTCAGCTCCACGTTACACAGACGCTTCCCTCTGCCTGATCTTCAGCATCCGGACTCATTATTAATTGATCTCCTCTGTGGGGCCGATTTTTTGAAATGCCTCCAGGCTTTAAACACAGCCGGCCAGCAGGGAGTTATTAGAGAAACATCAATGAGAGTTAATAATTCAAACAGCTGCAGGGGGTTTCCCACCTTCTCTTTGTTGAGAGGTCGTCTAAACTCTGCAGTCCACCGCAAGTTTGTCAGAATCAGCTTTATTAGCAGAGTCTTAGTGCAGAAACAAGGGCTTTAACTGCCATTTTCCACTCTAAGGAAACTGGAAAACAGATAAGAAAAAAGGAATAATATGTCTAGGGTTGCCAACAGTCCCTTGAAAAACTATATTGTTCCGTATTTAGAAGTAGAAGTACCTGTCCTGAATTTAGTGGAAAAGGAACACACGTTTGTCAGGTCTAAGCACCTAAAACATCAAGGTATATATGACGTATATATGACGCAGCACAAGTTATATGCTGCGTCATATATACG